TTATAATCAAGTCCTAATATTTGGCCGAAATTAACACAAAGTCACTTTTCAAGTCTATACTTAACCAATTTTTTTTAATATTTAAACCAAATTCCAACAACATCTTGTCAGTCATGTGTTTGTAGAAGAAAAAAAATATATATTAATTTATTTCAACAATTAATATCGGAGCATAGGTTTGGATCTTTTCTAGGAGTTATAATGGTTCTAATTCTTTTGATCACATGTTTAGGGGCGAGCAATGCCAAATGTTTGTTTATTTATATGAGCTGATTGGATGATTGTATCTACTTAATAGATGGATGAACAATGAATGTATCTTTTAACGATTTATGTATTCTATGCGTTAGTTTTCGAGCATTTTTTCGAATTAACAAAAAAAAAAAAAATCTGCATTTTTTTTAAAAGGTCAAACTTTAAACCTACACTTTAAACATATAATGCAACGGCAACTCCAAACCCAGTTTTGTGTCTTTGTCTTTCTCTCCCAATTTGCCGTCTGTAAACTGCCATTATCATTTACGGTTTATCCACCGTTTGAAAGTTTGTTTGTGATCCCCTAACCCAGAGTATCTGGGTCCATTCCTGGTTCGAACAATAGATTAATGCTATTTATACATAATTATTTACAAATTGATGACATGTCATCATATTAAAATTTAACTAATTTCTTTTTCTCCTTTTTTTCTCTTTCTCTCTCTTCAAAATGATTTTTTCTCTTAACCTGTATATCAATCTATAAATGATTATGTACAAGTAACATTAACGTTGACATGTTTGTGTAGCTATTGGTTAAAAAGAATCGTATGTGGCTCAGATATTAACTACTTTACAGGAAAGGGGGCGACGAAATATACTATTGTAGTAGTCGAAAAAGATATGGTAGAGTTAGGGCAATTATTGTACAAGGTTTTCCCACTATTATATGCGGAGGCGCATAGTACTCTCGATTTCATAGATGTATATTTAATGTTATGACGTTAAATGTTTTAAAAGGAAAAAGTTATTATCTATTATGTGTCAAAATTTACAAAATTAGGATGCCCATACAAGTAGGATACCAACAAACTTATATAAGAAGAAAGACTCATGAGGTAGAATTTTGATATTTTATAATGCATAAGTAGAGAAGATAAGAATAGAATTTGAGAAACTACCTTTTTGCTACTTCTTAAATTCTGGGATCAAATGCTACAAATTCTTTTGTAATTGATTTTTATTTTTTATTTAAAGATTACTAAATACCTAAAATAGTTGTGATTGTTTCCGAATCAAAAGTTGGCTATAAAAGCATTTTCAAATGTGGCCGATCTATAATAAAATCTCTACTTGGGCTATCGAATAATTAAAAAATGTGTTAAACTATTTGATCTAAAAATGTAAGTTGTTAAAGAGGGTTTCATATGTTTATTTAAATATTATAATCAGGTGAGAATCAATTTTTCTTCTTAAAATCTTATAAATGTACACTTTTTTTTAATTAAAAGGGCAACAATATGATTTAAATCAGGATATTTACTTGCTATGTGTCATATTAAATTTCTCGAGGTGTATTAAAAAAAGGTTCATATGTCTCATTTAAATGTTATCTTCAACACTCTATGTACTCATAATATATGTAAGAGAGAACATTGATCCCCCCTTTATTTTTTTTATTTTTTTTTCCTTCATATTGAATATTGGAAAGATGTATTATGTGAAAGCATCTTTGAATGGTCAAGTTTATGTACATTCTATTGAAACCAATTTAAATTATATCAACGTCAGTCAATAGGGAATATGACTTGTAATTGGCAACAACTATATATGAGAAATTAGATTGGCTCTTAAGGAGCAAAGTAATGGATTAGTTAAGGAGTTTATTAAACTTGAATACAAAGGACAAATTGGTATTAGTTAACGTATATAGAATTATGAATAATTAGCTATTCTAAGTAGGTAACAAAGATAAAACCAAAGTAGACTATTTCAAAACAACTTTTAGGTACATGAATTCATCGAGTAAACTTTTTATAATGTATAGTTCCAAAAGAAAATAGATTTTATAATTGGTTGAAAGCGTGTTTGAACATCTCATCTTTAATAGATTTATCCCTAAAGATTCTCTAACAAATCCCATACATAATTTTAGGAATGTCATGACAACATTAATATGAATAAAGAGAATTTACCCCCCGGGGCATAGTCCAGTAGTGCAAAGGATAGGAGTGAGATTATCTCACATCTTGCTGACAGCCGTAGTGTGGGGGTTCGATTCCTAAGACATGGAATTTGACTCCCTGTAGGCGCAGTGTACAGACAGTTCTTGTTCCCTGGTCTGCTAGGGCACATCCCGCGATTTACCTCCCTCACAAAACTCTAGGGACGGGGCGGTAGGGGCCCTCAAAGTTGGGGTTCAACCTTTTTTTTTTTTTTTTTTTTTTTTTTAAAATGATTTTTTCTCTTAACCTGTATATCAATCTATAAATGATTATGTACAAGTAACATTAACGTTGACATGTTTGTGTAGCTATTGGTTAAAAAGAATCGTATGTGGCTCAGATATTAACTACTTTACAGGAAAGGGGGCGACGAAATATACTATTGTAGTAGTCGAAAAAGATATGGTAGAGTTAGGGCAATTATTGTACAAGGTTTTCCCACTATTATATGCGGAGGCGCATAGTACTCTCGATTTCATAGATGTATATTTAATGTTATGACGTTAAATGTTTTAAAAGGAAAAAGTTATTATCTATTATGTGTCAAAATTTACAAAATTAGGATGCCCATACAAGTAGGATACCAACAAACTTATATAAGAAGAAAGACTCATGAGGTAGAATTTTGATATTTTATAATGCATAAGTAGAGAAGATAAGAATAGAATTTGAGAAACTACCTTTTTGCTACTTCTTAAATTCTGGGATCAAATGCTACAAATTCTTTTGTAATTGATTTTTATTTTTTATTTAAAGATTACTAAATACCTAAAATAGTTGTGATTGTTTCCGAATCAAAAGTTGGCTATAAAAGCATTTTCAAATGTGGCCGATCTATAATAAAATCTCTACTTGGGCTATCGAATAATTAAAAAATGTGTTAAACTATTTGATCTAAAAATGTAAGTTGTTAAAGAGGGTTTCATATGTTTATTTAAATATTATAATCAGGTGAGAATCAATTTTTCTTCTTAAAATCTTATAAATGTACACTTTTTTTTAATTAAAAGGGCAACAATATGATTTAAATCAGGATATTTACTTGCTATGTGTCATATTAAATTACTCGAAGTGTATTAAAAAAAGGTTCATATGTCTCATTTAAATGTTATCTTCAACACTCTATGTACTCATAATATATGTAAGAGAGAACATTGATCCCCCCTTTATTTTTTTTATTTTTTTTTCCTTCATATTGAATATTGGAAAGATGTATTATGTGAAAGCATCTTTGAATGGTCAAGTTTATGTACATTCTATTGAAACCAATTTAAATTATATCAACGTCAGTCAATAGGGAATATGACTTGTAATTGGCAACAACTATATATGAGAAATTAGATTGGCTCTTAAGGAGCAAAGTAATGGATTAGTTAAGGAGTTTATTAAACTTGAATACAAAGGACAAATTGGTATTAGTTAACGTATATAGAATTATGAATAATTAGCTATTCTAAGTAGGTAACAAAGATAAAACCAAAGTAGACTATTTCAAAACAACTTTTAGGTACATGAATTCATCGAGTAAACTTTTTATAATGTATAGTTCCAAAAGAAAATAGATTTTATAATTGGTTGAAAGCGTGTTTGAACATCTCATCTTTAATAGATTTATCCCTAAAGATTCTCTAACAAATCCCATACATAATTTTAGGAATGTCATGACAACATTAATATGAATAAAGAGAATTTACCCCCCGGGGCATAGTCCAGTAGTGCAAAGGATAGGAGTGAGATTATCTCACATCTTGCTGACAGCCGTAGTGTGGGGGTTCGATTCCTAAGACATGGAATTTGACTCCCTGTAGGCGCAGTGTACAGACAGTTCTTGTTCCCTGGTCTGCTAGGGCACATCCCGCGATTTACCTCCCTCACAAAACTCTAGGGGCGGGGCGGTAGGGGCCCTCAAAGTTGGGGTTCAACCTTTTTTTTTTTTTTTTTGAATAAAGAGAATTCAATATATTCTCAGTTTAACAATTTTTCTTAAAACATGTTAGCAAATGAGAAGGTAAGTTAAGTTAAAAGAAATAGCATCTCTTATTTACTAAAGAAAAAAAAAATACTAAGTTTATTAAAAAAATAAAAATAATAATTCTTCCATCTATATGACCATATTATAATGATTTGCCGAGACACCCCAGAGTATTTTTGACTTCCAGGGTCTTGAATGCTGACTAAAAGCTTTGCATGCATTGAATAGTATTGAAGATGTTTGGTTGGTTTAACCTTTTTTAAGCTTAACTACCATATTTTCTATTCAAACATTTTGTGCATCAATGGCAAGCTTTTTATTCATTTATTTATAGGATCAACAACTTATAATCCACACTTTAATGTAAGATTTACATTTTATAAGCACATTTTATAGGACGCGAAAGTTAGATAATTTACTATTCACTCGTTTTTCATACATTTTGTAGGATTCACAACTTCAGCACTTAAAAGCAATATTTAGTAAACTTTTGTTTTGTTAATCAAAGTCATCAAAGAATGAGTCGATTGGTACTATTATGAGCCAATTCTTCACCTTTCTTCAGAAGAACAAAGGCCTTATCACACAGAGTATACATAGCAGAAACCCCCTCATCCCACCTGACCCAAACAACAAAAGATTAGGGTCGGTTATATGAATCTGTTTTTACCACTACATAAAGTTCATTGCTAGATCTACAAGAAAATCGAGTGGGAAATCAGCCAAGCAGAGAAAACTAAAAAAACCTGCAGGCGATGTCACCGACAAGCAACAATAACGGTGGAGATGTGCAAAGGCAACTTGAGGCTCCCATTCCATGGATAGGCATGTATGTTGCTGCAGCATCTTTAGTCTGCTCCCTGGCAATGACAGCCGACGTGTTCTATGGATTCCGAACCAAAAGGTTATGGTTTCCATCAAAGTACTTCTCGATCAATGCTGCTACTTTGTCATTGTTACAAGTGGCAGTGAAGCTTCCCGTTGATCTTACGACCCACATGTGGGCTGTTACCGATAGGCTTGCAAAGGTTAGTAGCCTAATTCTTGTGTCAACCGCTATGGGAAATTTCATGACTTCTTTTGGATCCATGAATGACAAAGAGATTTTGTTAAATGTAATTGCTTTAGGCATTCTTGTAATCACAGTCATTGTTAACGTCTGTATCCAAATCATCCAAATGAGGCATTTTCTAGGCAATCGAGAAATGTATCTTGAGGAAATCATAGCTACTTTCTCCATCCTCGTTTTGTTTGTTATGTTATCTGCTTCAGCTATAATGGTCCCAACAGCCAAAAGATATCTTGAAATGAAGTACCAAGAAAGGCTGAAAGAAGAGGAAGAAATCGAAAAGTCTGTGGAGTTTGAGAAACTCACAACGGATAAACTAAGAGCAATGATCAGGAAATACTGGGTGATGGCAGCAACTAGTAGCCCTCAATTCGTGATTGCACGTTCTGTCACCTGTTTGACTTCAGGTGTAATTTGTCTGCTGATTGCTTTCCTTTTGGTAGAAGCTCAGGCTCGAATGGCCATAAAAGGTAAAACATTCAGCAAAACAGATTCTAACTATGCTTGGTCGACGATTTGGATAGTACTTGCTCAATCTGCTGGAGGGATTGTGGGTACTATTGCCCCTGCATTCAGATGGTTGACTGCAGTAAATTTTGCATACTCAGAGAAAGGCCTGATGAGCTTTAAGAATGCATTCAAAATTGAGAGTTACTGGACTCAGATGCTGGTGGATTGGAAGGAAAGCCCCTTGCCATTGGAAATTGGAGACAGGAAGTGGAGAAAAGTTCTTCAGGATGTAAAAGGACTAATTCTGAATTTTGTCATAAGAGTTCAGATGTTGATTGTTCTGTCCAGCAAGTCAGTTCAACTTATCTCTGTCTGCTTCATGAGTCGAATCATCTTGTGTTTCCACTGCATCACAAGGTTGAAGAATAAGTCCACCTCTGGTACATCAGACATTCATGTGGTTTCCGAATCTGAATCAGAAGTCAATACAGAACAGGATCTTACCCGTTATGTTCTGCTACTTGAAGGCGAAGTCGCGCAGGCCCCAAAGACCCTTAAAAACATCTGCAACAAGGTGGATAAGGTGATCGAGATGGGTAAAAAGCAGCAACCGAAGAACCTGGAAACCCTTCTACTTAAAGTTGACAACTTCAGCAGCTGGACAGAAATGTATGATTATCAAGTACCAAGTCTACATTCTCAGGAACCTCCTAATTGCTGGTCTTTACATCTGGTGACCTTGACGACTATAGTTATCGCACTTCCAAACATCCCAATACAGAGGACTAGTGGGCTACTTACCAGCATTAACGAGGGCCTCTTCTATGTAAAACTTATCGAGAAAGTCCTCGATAGAAATGAGGTTCGACTGAACATCAGAAAAGCAGCAGGTGCCATGTGGGTAGATGTCGAACTATATAAAAAGTGGATGCAAATTGATCTCGATGAACTGTCTCGTAAAAGCAGGAACTCCAAGGAGGTACTACAAAAACTCTCTGAGCAAGCTGAAAACACAGTAATGGAGTTTATGACAAATGGGAAAGATTGCCGGATAAAAGACTCTCTTAATTGGCCTCTCAAGGTTATATCTGCTAATTCAATGTACCGAATCACAAGAACTATGCTACATGAAAGCGAGAATCCCCTAATGGATGAGGGATTATTCAACCAATTATCTACAACGATTGCCGATGTAATGGCAGCATGCCTTACCCATTTAACTCGCATTATAACCATGAAATGTCACCAGAATTCCATAGAAGAGAGGGAGAAAAGTGTCCATCAAGCAGCTCTCCTGTTAGGTAAAACTGAAGAAATTCTCCATATTCTTCAGCAGCGAAAAGGACAGAGTTTGAATCGAGAAATCAGCATATATTGAAAAAGCCGCATGGAAATTAGAATCGCCTAAGTTTAATTTTTGATTCCCAATAATAGCAAAGTCCATTCCTAGTTCACGTGAAAAAGCATGTAAGATAAAGGGTGACTTCAATCATACAGTCAAGTGCCTAAAATAATTTGTAAAAGCAGCTCTCTTTATCTTCAAGAACTTGTAAACTTATCTTTGTTTATCCTAAGGAACTTCAACAAATTTTACTGAATTCAATTTATAACAGACAGATTCAGTAACTGGAAAATGGATGCTGAATCTTTGAAAGAATCCATGAAATAGTCAGGGCATGCTTGTCTATAACATTCTCTGAAACCATATTACGAAGTGAACCATGAAGAGTCGTTTAAGAAAAAACTTCAGATGCAACTTTGCCCTTCTGAGCTCCGAGTTTGACTATAAAATTATTCTAGAGCAAGTCTGAAATAGTTTACAATCACATTATGCAGAGATTGTTCAAGACAATTTTCGGACAGAGAAAGTAATAAATCAGACAAGCCAGAAGTATTTCTAACTTACATGTAGTGAACGAAGAAAATTAAGGCAGCCAAGATGATTGAATTCCATTTGGCACAAAGAAGCCAGCAGAACAACACAAAACAGAATCTAAGGTTTAGTGTATAAAGCAAACCAAGTGCAAAACTCGTCTATCATCAAAACAAATATACTCTTAAAGACATTCCTAGTATCAACTACTACAAACAGACATAATATTTGCCATTAAGAGAAATCAAAATTAACCAACATAGCATCATTCTAAAAATAAAAAATAAAAAATAAATAAAATGTGAAAGAAGAATGCACTACAACGACCTATAGCTATAGCATAGAGAGTCAACAAAGAAATATAGAGAAAAGCATCGTCGACTATCTAGAAGGAAACTGATAGATCCCAACTCACGTGATAAACTAACAAGGGCAATAAAGGAATTAACCAAGGAAAAGAAGGCACATGTAGCAAGGGTACAGTTATCATTCTGTTAGGAGTAATTGATAGGCAAAAATCACTTATAAATAGAGGGATGCGGCTATGGGAATGGAGGAGAATTCTGGTAGTCAATTGGGAGAGTTGTGGACCTCTCGAATGTCCTAATACACTTGTCATTTCCTGTTTTATTTGCTATTTTAGATCTGTCCTTTATAGCAGAATTCATTCCTTTGTAATCAAAGTTCAGTAATAGTATATTGAAAATTCTATTCCAACTATCATTTATTTTTAAGTTTGCTTGGTGAAGTGAGATCATTTCAGGTTTCTATCAATTGGTATCTGTTGACACATAAAAATTCAGCCCAAATCGAACAGCCCAAGGAGAAAGCCCAATTGAAGGATCCCCAAATCGGATAGCCCAAAGAACGAAGTCCAATCGAACGAATCAAGGTGAAGGCCCAAATAAGGGGCCCAAGAATGCGGTAACGCCATCGCCCAAGTTTGCAAGTCGCCCAGAATCTGAACGAATGGAGTGTCATACGGTCGCCCAGAGCTGTTATTCTACTCTCGCCCAAACCTTCAAGTCGCCCAAGGTATCAACAAATATAACGCATCGTGGTTATCAAGGAATGCAGTTATCAAGGCAGTTGTTAAAGTAGCCTTATCACGTTCCACGACTCAAGGAATTCAATCGAAAGCAGTTGAACGATGAAAGATAATGACAGCAGTTAAAAGGCAGTTTCATGACAAAATGGCCACTACAAAGAAAGTGGGTAGTTATAGGACGATCAAGCAGTTTTTAGGGTAGTTAATCACAAAGAGATCGTCTACGAGGTATAAAAGGGAGAAAGGACGCAGAAGCAAAGGACCGAATCCAAAACTCTCGAACAGAGAATATGTAATTTTCATTTCCTTAGCTTTTAGACTTAAACATCTTTCTTTC